AAAAAAAAAAAAAATCACGAAGGCCAAACCAAAAAAACAACGAGAGGTACTTTGTTTCCTAATCCTACTAAGCTTTCTATTGCAGAGAAATTGTAATGACAACAAATTATATAAAAAAAAAATAAAAAAGTGACGAAGAAAAAGAGACTCGCTCTCTCTATATCTCTCATATCATTAGATAGGGACTTGTCGAGAACGTACACAAAACGCAAAATTCACATGTCCTTCTCTTTTAATTTTATGTTGGGGATATATGTAAGTGTATCTTATACAAATTGTCAAGACCTCAATCAATAACGGTCCAAACACTGAAAAAAGATGAAAGCACAAAATCTATATGTTGATTATTAATAGATATGGAAGAGAAAATCAAGAAATTTAAAAGCAAGAAGATCTTCATGTTCCTCTCCTCTTTTTTTTTTTTTTTGAATTTTGCTCAGCCTTTTTTTGTTTGAAATCCCACCCTCCAACCAAACACTATGTAGACTATTTGAACCAAAATTTTGAATTAAGCACTTTGGTTTATTTTCTTCTTTTAATTTTTGTTTGGTGAGTGATTGACTGATCGGCCATGTAAAAGAGAAGAGAGGCAAAGAGTAGACATGTTACGTTGGAGAGGCCATTTTTGTCTGTATATATGATCTATACATTTTAAGTAATTATGACATTTGTATAGAATCTTAACCAAGTCATGTTAACTTATTTAGCATAGACAGCAATATAGTTATAGTTTGAGTTGGTATCTCATTCCAAGTCGAGTCAATTCATTTTGTAAAGTGTTTTCTTACCTTATTGAGTTCAAAATCTTCTTTTCAAACATGTTGAATTGTTAAGTTTCTACTGTTGTTTAGAAATAAAATCACAAATAAGTCAATACAGTTGGACTCTTAAGATTTTTTCCTAATGAAATTTCATATTTGACATGTAGAAATATTTTTCAAAAATATGTACCAATGACTAAAATTAGAGAATTTGTTACATCTCAAGAGTAACAAGGTTTTTTTTCTTTCATATAAATTGAATACACATGCCAATACAGGACTATACAGTGCCTGACACATTTCTTCATATTCCCAAGTGGATTAGAACAAAATTTGTACAAAACCACCAACACATGTATTCATAACAAAATTAGGGGAGTCGAGATTGGAGTGCCTACCTTGCGTAGTGAAAGTCTTTTCTTCCACCGTGGGATCAACTTTCTGGTTGACATTACTGTTGTTCGGGGCATTGACTATTTTCTCTGGCGAATGTTGAAAAAATATCTGGTTTCCACTACTTTGGATTTTTAGATGCTAAAGAGGTCGAGAGAGCTTGCTACATCTGTCTACAGAAACGAATCAGAAATGTGGAGGTAGGTATCCCGACCTTTACCTCAGACGTGTTGGCTAGAGCCCCATGGGTACAACCGGAGGTGTTTCATACAAATCTTGCCCCATGCCAATGGCCGTTTTTCGTCCGCCCACCCATCAAATACAACTCCATGGTGCTCCCATTATGCCAACCCAGACTCAAATGGGCCGTTCAGCCTAAGTTTCTGGTGAGATTAGGAGGTCAACTTCCACGAGAAGAGGATATCGTTTACCGTAGCTCTTTGAAACTTGAAGGAGTAAAACTGTAAAAAATATGTGAATTTTCAACTTGCCATAGCACCACCGGAGCTCACGACCCCGATTCGAAGTCTTTGTAATTCAACCGGACCCAATCAGACTCTTCACACACATGAACCACACTACTCCTTTCGTTGGTGACCCTCCGATTAAAGTCACCTCATTGGAGCCATAACGCGTGTGCCATTAGTTTCTCCGTTAGTGGATCGAGATTGATCTTTCCTGTTTAATTAAAACCACTGGCCATTCGAAACGCTTTTCGATTCCATTGTCAAGCTCAGGCAAACCAAGCTTCTCGATCTTCCTCTGACCTCGTAAGTTTTTCGTCCAAAACTTGATCTCTTGCTAAACTAAACCCTCTCCTTGGATTTAAAAGGATCATTTTTGATTCTGGGTATTAAGATTCCAACTTGTTTGATTGCAAAACATTGAGTGGGAGGAACTTTGTGTGTGTGTGTAAAGGAAAATTTATGGGAACTGGTTGTGGTAGAGATTCGATAAGCAATTTGCCTGATGAGATTCTTGGCAAAATCCTGTCTTTACTTCCGACCAAAGTGGTTGCTTCCACATCGGTTCTTTCCACGAGGTGGAGGAACCTTTTGCCTCTTGTAGACTTTGATGGTTCTTTTCAAGAGCTGAGTCAGATGAGACATTTCTTGGGCAAGCTGGAATGCTTGAAACTGTCAAAGTTGGTCTTGTCGCAAACAACAACAATAAAAAATCTTTGAAGTTGGTTATCTAATCTGTTTCTGAAAATTGATTATTACTTATTTGTATGTCTAAACTCTAAATATTGTCTATCTATACTTGAAAAAATAACTTTTGTGTAATCGAACATCATCATACTGTTTAAGAAACAAGCTCTTAGATGGTTGATGCGATCTTTAAGTCAAATTTAAGATATGTATAACAATCATAATAATATTATGAACTGTTTAAGAACTATCTACATATATCAAATATCATCATAGTGTTTAAAACTACCCCAAAGGCCAAATGAAAAAAAGAAGAACAGAGTAATTTGGGGCTAATTAACATAAGAAAGAAACATACAGTCCCTTCTCTTAGCCGTTCTCTATCCTTTATGAGCTGAGAATGGAGATTTCCCCCCTGCACCGGCATGTCGTAGATTCTCTACAATAAAAATAAAAAGATGTTTAGTAAAATGTTTATAACCAAAGTTTAGGCTCGAAGAAAATATACTTGCCTCGATGCAGTTCAAGCTCTTCATAGAGTTCTTCTTCCCATTTCCGTCGTATCTCTGAAAAACTGATGATAGATTCAAACAAGGAAACATCAAAACACTAAAGCGAAACCCAATTTTTAAGGCTTTGAAAGCTGTAATTTCAGAACAAGCTAACTCACCAACGGCTATTAGTTAGTCCCTTCTTGGTTGACTCGTTGACATGACTTGGTTCGGTTCCTGGCTGCATCACTCTGTTTGTGTTCAGTGTACGTTTTGAGCTTTTGACTGGGCTAGGCATTGCATCGCTTATTGCTGAGAGTCGTCTGCTCGGAAGTCGTTTGGGTGACTTGCTTATAGTTGGTAGGTTTGGTAAATTGTAGCTATTGGTGTCTCCAAGTGCACCTTGTCGTGTTCCTGGATTCATCGCATTGTGGAATTCTTCGAGCAGAGGGGTCTGCAACTTTTTCAAATCTTGAGCCTTGACAACAATAAATCGAAATAAGAATCAGTGATCAAGATTTTATTTCATCACAAAACCTCATTTGGTAGTAGAGATGAACTTAAAATTCAAGGTAGATCAAAGCAAACAGGAGCCACAGTTGCAGAGGAGATGATTAGAAAGTATTGAAAATGGAAAGACTACACCACACAAAGCAAGAAAATCAGAATCTAATGTTGTGCATGCATTCAAATTAGAAGTTCCAAACTTTCTCCCATGAATGAACCATGCATAGTATCAGCAGAAGGGCTTACCTTCTCATCCAAAAATGATTTTATCTTCAACTCCGTGGCTTTATAATCATCCTCGGCAATTGAAGAGCTACCAGCAAATGCTGAGGTGGTTTCTGCATCACATGGAACCCCAGATTTGACTTCAGCAGCTTGGTAAGAAACCAAGTTGGATTTGCTTCTCATCACTTCTGGGCTTTCATCAAACTTGCATGACCAGTTATCCGTGGAATCACTCATGGGATTAAAACTCTGTTGAAATTCAAAAAGTTTCTTCCCACTATTAGTATAACTGCAACCAGCAGACACATTTGAAACCTTGTGATGGATAGATTTATCACCTTATTTAAATCGGTGGATTGTGACAAAACATTGTTACTGACTGATGCAATGTTGCAGAGATCATCCATATCAGTCTGACAAAGGTCATCGGAGTCGCCATCTCGCCAACAGAATCCTGAGTTATTTGACTTCTCTGGGTGTATAATGGAACTTCTCAAGCTTCCGAGTTCACAGACATCCTTCAAGCCTGAATAGGTTGACCTCCTGATCAAAGAGTTCATTCTGGGACAATAGGGAAAAAGTGAATCAAGAGACCAAAATCATGGATAGTAAGAAAGAAAATTGAAACTAGAGCTGCAAAGAGAAACTTACGAATTCCTAACATTTATTCCTTGTGTGGGAATTGAGTTTCCGCATTCCTGATATATTTGAAAGGAAGTTAGAAGCTTGAAGAACCAGAACAAAGTTTACTGCATTATGTACTAACCGTAAGAGAATTACGGGAAGCTGGATGAGATTCCAGGTGCTCTCCAGTGACAAACGGGTGCTGCAAATGTTAAGCAGATGTCAGCACAATAAGCAACAAAAAGAAGAGTTTTTTGTGCCTTGAGAGAAAGGACCACTTTCACAGATGTTAGAAATGAAGAAGATACGAGATTCACATTACCTGAAGCAATTCGGATGCAGAGAGTCTCAAGCTTGGTTCCCTACAAATATAATAGCTCTTATAAATAGGTTGATATGGAAAGGTGGACATCAGTCTTTACACGAGCTATCTCTAGATAAACTAGATAAAAGACAAACGAACTGGGAAAAACAAAACTTATGATTTACTTGTGTAAGCATTTCAATAGAAAGTCTTTAGCCTCTGGTGAGAGGTCTTCTGGAATTGGTGGATGAGCTTTTGTTCTACCAATATGAAGGACAGCGGCAAACTGGAAAAATACCATTTAGTTTTCTAAAATAAAAGACAGCAACGTATGAATCAACGATACTGGAAAGTGTACTTCACCCAGTGGATATGTGTACCTGCTGATACTGCTCACTCCAGGGAGGTTTCCCTGTAGCCATCTCTATTACAGTGCATCCAACACTCCATATATCAGCAGAGCTTCAGATTTAGGAAGAAAGTCAGAAGATATAGTTGCAATACACAGGGAAAAAATAGATGAGAACCCATTCCCACTGTAATCTATCACCTTACAAAAAGTTAGAAGCTAAAGGAAAGTAGGAGATAGTGGAGAAGAAGATAACTAGTAGGGTATTCTAGAAATACTTACAAGCTATGACCTGTCTGTAGAATGACTTCAGGAGCCATCCAATACGGAGTTCCCTTCATCGATTTGGCACCATTTACAGTAGCCTGGAAGCATAACAATCACAAGTCTTAAGAGTACAGACAACATATTAAAATATAACTGAAGAGGAAGAGAAACGAAATCATACTAGCTCTACAACTTTCTTGGAAGCACCAAAATCTGCAAGTCTGATGCAACCTTTGTTATCGACCAAAATATTTGCCCCCTAGGAGAGAATGTGACAAGAGTTATAGAGGAGTCATGAGCAACCACAGCCACATCATATGTTGGAACTTTGAAAGATAAAAGTACCTTGATATCTCTATGCATGATACCATTGTTGTGAAGATACTCCAAACCAAGCAAAAGTTGCTTTGTGTACATTATAATTACCTATTCAGAAAGGTTCCACACAACATTTATCGTCAATGAAGCTCAAACACACACAAAAATTTAGCAAACTTCAGGTATACCAAGGACTTACTGGCTCAGGAAAAGATCCAAACTTCTCCAACAGAGATGAAATCGATCCACCGGGAACAAATTCCATCAATATATTCAACGAATCACTCTCTCTTACAGTACCCAAGTATCTCTGACAGAAATCAAGATAATAACTAATTAGGGGAATGCATGAAGAAGAACATACATTAATGAATGGATTCGCCTACTCACAACAATGTTTGGATGCGAAAGATTCTTGAGAAGTTGTACTTCTTCCTCAAGCTCTCGGATATGGCCCTAAAACAAGGATTCACAAGTATAAAAACAAAACTTGTTACCAAATTGGGAACATATTTTATCGAATATGGAAATTAAAACACAAAATTGAAAGTACTGACTACCACAAAGATGAAACTCACCTGAGTCTTCTCCTTTGAAGCACTATTTGGAGCGATTAAAACCTATCATCAAATCCAAATCACAATTAAGCAGAATACAAGCAATTAACGGACAATCAGAACTAAGAATTATCAAATCGACCTGCTTAATTGCAAGAAGCTCGCCGGAATCGAGATTCATCCCCATATAAACCCTCCCAAAAGCACCACAACCGATTAATTCCCCTTTCCTCCACCGAATCGACGGCGTTTCTTCCTTTCTAGGAGCAGGAAGTCCCGGAGGAGGTTTAGTGAATAGACCGATTCGAGAGCTACGGATACTGGAATTAATCTTCCCGACGAATCCGCTGAGACCTCCGCCGCCGCCACTACCATCGTCTCCGGCCAAAGACGACCGGAAAACCAAAGATCGGCGAACCGATCCGAGAATATCCTGCATTTGGGGAAAATCCCGAAATGGTTCTTTGCAGCGAGTGTGTAGACTAGAGAGATTCAGTGAAGACGATTACTCATTGGCTTTCGTGATTTGTTTGTGTGGTGTGAATTAAGGAAATTTCGAGGAGGAGGGAAAGAGAAACTCGAGATCTGTTTTTCAAAATTAAAAAGGTGAGTTCTTTTGTGATTTTCTCAAAATTTACACTTTTCTTAATGGGCCTTAGTTATTGGGCCTTTTCCGGATACGTATAAAATATCGGCCTGCATAATGTCCGCACGTGTCGAATACCCCAGATGAAGTGTCGGTCGATGAATTTTACCTTGGTCTCGCTTACCGACAAAAATATTTGTTAGTATCTTATTTTTGTCATAACGTACCGACACATTTTTGTCAGATTTATTCGAATAATAATCTTGAAATCTAAAAGTATAACACGAGGAATATAAAAATAGTTCCATTAAGGGGAGGGATCTCGAGTATTTTGCAAGTCATTTGCAATTTTTATTAATTTTTGGTAACCGGAAATATGAGACAAAAACATTTTTTACAAAAACTCATGGAATAAAAAACTAACATACACAAAAATTATTCTTGACGGAGTTAATGAAAGATAAAACTCAAAAACATTTGATATAATCTTAATAGAGAAAGAAACAAAAGGAAAACACGAAAACAAGTAAATAATTAACGAGACCAATACTAAAAGTGAAGCCATTTGAATCATCATCATGATCGTGTTTTGTATTTGTAGCAGTAGAATAGCTTCCTTCTGGTGTGCTTGTAGTAAGAACAACAACGATCCAATTATCTTCTGTACCAATACCAATCCCTGTAAACTTTGAATCATTCAAACTCAAAGAGTATTGTGATTTTGTGAAGTTTGTTAGTACGAGGTTTGATTCTAAACGAGGAACACATGCAGGCATAATCGAACCGTCTCTAGTGTCAGAGACGTTTAAGTGACATTTAGCTAGAATCTGAGGGAAGTTTGGGAACTGTGGTTCGGTTCCAGGTACTGTAGCTGAACCAGTGTCGTTGGTGCATGGTCTGTTCTTGAATTGGTCTGCGATTTCGTCTGCTAAACATTCTGCGTTTTCGTTCTTGTTTAAGATTGTTAGGTTCTGTGATGTTCTGTAGCTGTTTAGGTCTCTGAAAAGAATATCTTCTTCATCTGCAAACTCAAAAAACACAAGTCCATAAATCTCTATGTACTTGAAATAACTTTCTTTTGAAGTAAACATGACTCTTGTTTTTTACCAAAAAAATATGACTCTTGTTTTTTTTTTTTTCTTGTTTAATCAATTTCAAGAAAAGTATAAGGTTTAATGAAAGCAGATCCATATGCTTAAATTTATCATAGATTTTAAAGATCGAGATCTAATGCAGAGCTATGAAGTGAACAGATCCTAATAGTTTTTTCAAGACAAGATCTAAACAGTATAACCAAAACACTGCGAATCTTGCAAGAACCAGAAGATTCGTAGAGAGAATCTCAAGAAGATGAATTTACTTTGAACAAGAAAATCTTGGAAGAGAGAGTGAAAGAGGGGAAGTTACCGGTATCGCTAAGGACAGGGCGATTGAGGAAGAGAAGGATGATTGAGAGAAGGAGAAGAAATGGAAGCTTGTGGATCGCCATTGAAACTGAATCAAGAAGCTCTTTGATGATTGTTTTTTTTGGCAAATGGCTTATATTTATTGAAAAAATGAGATTCGAGAAATGGTTACTTAGCTTTCACTCTTGATAGTTGTTTGATTCTGTTGTGCTTTTCTTGTCCACTAGATTTTTGACATTTCGTCGACCATTTAAGGCCTTTTAACTAACTTATTCGTTGAGTCTTATTCTCATCTGAAACGGCGTCGTCCGGTGATAAGGGTAGACTAAAGAACAAAGACTTTTTGAATCACACTGATTGGGGGACTTGGACACTTGAAGACTTTTTGAATCACATAACAAAGACTTTTTGAATCACATATCAAAGACTTTTTGAATCACACTGGTAAAATCAGAGTTGAAATTTGGAACTAAGTTCTGCAAAACTCAATGATCCAATTTGATTTGTTATTACAGAAACATCTAATGTAAGTACCAAGATGTGATCAAANNAAATCAAACACAAAAGCAAAGTAGAAGTAGAAGTATCAGAGTGACTCACTCCATAACTGCGGATCCACCAGCAGCTTTGATCTTTGCTATGAGTTCGTTAGCTTCTTCCTTCGTCAAACCTTGTTTAAGCACGATCGGGGCTTTCTCCACAAGCTCTTTCGCTTCTTTCAGACCCAAGTTCGTGAACGCTCTCACNTCTTTGATCACTTTGACCTTTGCAGTTGTATCAAACTTCTCCAGCTTCACATCGAAAACNGTCTTCTCCTTTACCACTGCTATTTCGGCTCCAGCATCTTGTTTTGCTCCCGTACTCATGCCTTCCGATGAAATCATATGCTGTTTTGGAAGCCTCAGGTGTTCATTGAGTGCAGAACCAATNTGTCTCCGTTCTTCTGGAGATAGTGCAGCTATACGTTCAGCTAGCTCAACGATTTTGTTTGAAGGTTGGGGTCTNGGACCATACGGATCATAAACCGACGGGTATTTGTATTTCTTGGGTTTAGCTTTCGAGACAGAATCTTGCTNCAAGAACCGCACTTGCACAGACCAGTTTGCGATGGGTTGACATTTGCGAGAATGAACGTTTTTGACAAGCGAAATAAGCTTCATGACTATAATCCCTCTGCTACCATACAAACATCAACCGAAGATCATTCCGTCTGACCAAAACAAAAGGNCTANGCTATATCAAAATCTTCNCAGGACAACAACAGTAAAGCTCTCCTGTGTTACAGAAAGACAATAACTTTAGCTACTAATTGCTGTTACGGTTCAATGCATACAAATCAAAATTTCAGATTCAACCTATATACCAGCAATTATCTGATGACATTAGTGCTTAAATAGTTACATAATAGTTTCAAGAACATATTTGTATTGTATCAGTGGTTTAGGCTCAAAGTTTACTTTGCAGATCAAATACATAAATCTTTTTCAAAAGATCAGTTTGTTGTGGAGCAAATTGGTGAATAAGAGAGAACGATTTTAGAAGCAAGCAGAGATTCATAATATCGATTTCAACATCACGAACCAGAAATTAAAATTTGGTTTACCGAGATTTAATAGTCTAGGAGGAAAAATACTTACAATCTAAAGTCCGATTACTGAGAAACCAAACCCTAAAGATCAAAACCTAGCAGATTCATGAGTTATGACAGTCCAAAAACCAAACAATGAGATCTATTAATCATAGACCTATGAGATTTTCAAATGAGAGCTCTAAAAGCAGAGAAGAAGATGAGAAAATAATATGCTTACCTCCGGCGATGCTGTGGTGCGACGGGGCTAGCTTCGCCGGCTCTTAGTTTGATGATGC